GTTGATCAATATTATTGGCCCCCAAATGACCATGGGTAACGTTTCCCATTGATTGGGACATGTGGTTTCCCCAATGGTCATCCCATGCAAAGAACCATTTGATCAACCCTCCATGTAGATGATCCCCCCATGCAAATGATCCCCATTCTAATCCCTCAAGCAAATCCTAGAAGATACCAAGATACCATCTGGGGTTGTGAAATGGCTCGATGATTAGACAGCGGGCATGGTACAAAAGGTTGGACGAGGGATGTTTCGGCTCATTCGGATTGCATCGCTCGATGTCCGCGCACCTTTTTGCCCCACCCTCGCCGGTAGCTGGCAGTCGGTCAAAGGTTGGCAAAAGGGAGGGCCAACCCCCTAATAATCCTGTGCCTCTTCATAAATAACTGCAAAATACAGTGTTTTTGAGCATTACACCTGCCTTTGTTTTCCTCCTGGAAAAGGCTTACCTGGGGTGACCGCCTAAAATAGGCTCCTCTTGTCTGGCATGTTTGAGCCCCCCGCTCAGGTTGGATTCCACGCGAGAGGCTTGCAGAAGGCTGTCAGAGGCTCCTAAAAAAGAAAGCACTTTCCATGAGCCGGCGTCTCAAAAGCATCCCACCAAAAACGTTGTTTCCGATATCTCTGTCCTCTGAAACGTATCAAGGTAAGATAAAACATATCTGAAGGTCATGTTTGGACTGTCTCCAGCTCTCCCTTTGCGTAAAAAACCAGCTGGGGTTCCTTACCCATGGTCGCTTGATCCCCTCTTGCTGGACCCCCGGCTGGACCAATGAACTCTTGATCCAGCACAACCAACCCCCCCGGTATGGAATATCTTGGACCCTGCCACCCACCAATGGATGGACATTTAGGTCCATCTAAAATGGTCTTCCAACTTGCGGGCCCCGGCCTCAAGGCACTGGCCTCGCCAGCTTGGGCCATGGGCCATGGGACCGAGAAAACCCGAGCCCGCAACTTGCGGCGCCTTCGGCTGCTTGTACAAAATAGGGGTTTCTAGTTGTTGTCTGCTTTTTGGCTATCAAAAAAAAACAAAAACAGGAGACACATGGACCTGGCACTCAAAGTGGTTGAACCGTTCCAGTCAAGATCGCAATCAGAGAGCACATCACGGCAAGTAGCCCCCGGCCTCCTCAAGGTCACTCATCTCTGGGCCTGACATCGACGACCCGAGGCCTTCAGCCGGTCCAGACTTTCCGCGAGCTTTTGGATTCGCAAGGAATCCAAATTCCTGGGTGTTTTTTTTTTGTGATCCATAGGAAACCAACTAGGCAATTAGGTCCGAACGGACTGTCTGACTGCAACTAGGCAAGTCTACCTGTTTGTGCATACCTCAATCTGCTCGTGCATGGCTCGATTCGCGTTAAAAGGGCACTATTGGGGGACCTAGGTTGCTTGCTCGAGGTTGCCAAACAAGCAACCCGGAATAAAAGCCAACAACTTAACCTTCACCAGCTGCGGGGAGCAGAGCCTGTTCTCAATGCAATGGCTCCATCACCCCCAAACATACCACTGCCCCCAACCCAAACGCACCTCCTCGGCTTGAGGGGTAGGGAGGGTCTGGCTAGGGTGTTTCGTCATCGGCTAGCGGGACGTGGACCGGTGGCAGTTGGTTTGCCTCATCTAAGGTTGATGCCGAACAAATAAGTGCCGCCAATGAGCCTTTTTTGGCTTTCCTGCGTCCATTCAAGCGGCATTGAGAACAAGTACCCCTTCAACAAACCTGGAAAGATAAGTCTCCAAGGGCAGCTGTGCACAACCCTCGCCCGCCCGGGCGCATGGGGGAATCGACTAGTCCTGTACCCAAACCAGCCAGACGCAGGCGACATGCCACGACATCCGACGCCTTCTTTGGGCCGCTCTTTCCACAACCTGCAGCGCTGAAGAGGGTCATGTTCGGGCTCAAGTTTCGTTTCTTCGAGTGCTGTGAGCCCGACATATCCCAAAACTAACAGCTTTTGGTTTACGCAATGGACAAACAAGATGTCCAAATACCAGCTGATTTAGGGGATCCGGTAAGGCAAGTAGTTTTGGGACATATCTCTTGAGGATCCCTGTTTTGTCTTTGTGTTGGATGCCCATCCGCAGCTTTTTTTGAGGTGCCGGACCCCACCGAGACTCATTCGATTCGCAGCCGGCCCAAGCGTGCTGTTTTCGGAAGGCGAAGCCAAAGACGCCTAGGGCAGTGAAACGGATTGCAGTTTTGGACAGCGTGCACCGAATACAACCCTAAGGGTCCACCGAGTACAACCCTAAGAGCCCTCCAATGCCCCGACCCCCGGACCCGATTTATGGAGAACCCCGACCAATTCCTCAAGTTGGCCCTCAACGACAACCCATTTGGAGGGCCCAAAAACAGTTGGGCCCCTTGGGGAACTAAAGGAAAGAAGCAACCTCCGGTGTCCGTTCACAAGAAGATATGGGAAGGCGCGGGATGATCAAAAGATGCTCACCTGGTTCGCCGGTTCCCCAGGATCAAGTTCAGAGATATTGACCAAACTGATGTGGAAACCGCCAAGTGTGCCAAGGGGCAACAAAAATGATGGCAGTTTGTTCACACGCCTTTTGAGGCTTCAAGCCCTAACTTCAAAAAGAGCCATCAGCTAGCAGAGAATCCCAGAGGATCCGAGTTCAATATAGTGAGCAACAATCAGTTAGAATACCCAACCAATTGGTAGAGTTTGCACGCATCCCAGGAAATTGGGGGCTAGAATTGGGCTCCATGTGTCAAGTGCTGGATGAATCACTATACCTCAAACGAGATTCGAGCGGTTTTACAATTGAACCTTTGGATCGAAACTAGGATCTGGCCCCTTCAGCCGACGCTGGTGGCCATTTTTAGTAGACTCCAAGCAAAACCTGTTGTTGGTCCTAGCCAAGGTGGCTGACCACTTACTAGCTTGGCCGGACATAAGGCAAGAAAGCCAAACGCATGGGTGAGCTCGTCTTACAAGGTGAGCTCGCCATAGAGGGAGTGACGCCCTACAAACCTCTCCAAGACCAGGTCCACGAAGGTATACTTCGCCGCTTATCAACAGGACCTCCGACTGACCTCGCTTGAATGAGCCTGTCCATCCGGTCCGTGGCCGCTCAAACAATGCCCGCTGTCGCAGGCTACAGGATGGTCCTTGTGCACGGGACTGGGCTTGCCTCTAAGAGCAATGCACAAAACGAAGGCATTCCAATCTGGAAATCAAGGACTAAGCCCATCCAGGAGGGAAAAAACAAGTAGCTGATTTGAAAGGGCAATCTCCTCCAGAAGAAAAAGGGGCAAATATGTCTGCGAAAAAGGTCTACCCAGGTTGACACGGGCCATTCTGACAGCCCAAAACGCCCAGCCTAAGCGCTCTTTGGCTATAGGCTCAGCATGGCTCATGTCAGAACATCTCTAATGTCTCCCCTATGTCACATCGTTGTTTGATTGTGCTTTGTGATGTTGATTGTAAGTGTGTTTTTTTGCACGCACCCCCACTCAACATGAACAGAGCCAACAAGTAATCAAAGTGAAACATATACGAAGAACGGTGCAGGTATGGTCTATGTCTGTGGCCTTGAGGGCATCTTAGGCTTCTCGAAGGGCCTTGGAATGGACTGCCCTTTGGACTTCAAACTTCGAAGTTTACCGTCCCCACGTTGCCATGTAGCTTGACAGACAACCGCATGAAGAAAGTGCTTCGCACTCCGAACATGTCCAGTGCCTTCCCTACATCAGAAACATGATCAAATCGCACTCCAAGTTGGCTAACATGGCGTATGCTCGAACTGATCTGTCCAAGCAACGTCTTTTGTTGGCTAAGACCATAGGAATGAAACGACCACGATCACGCATAGCACAACGCAAACATGCATGCACGCATTCCCATCATGCAAAGCACATTGACATGAGCCCTAACCTCAGCACGATTTGCTCTGAAGGTCCCAGCAACGAAATGGTGGACAAATTCCCTTCAAACCGATAGATATTAGTGCGCTGAAGTCGCTCTACCTATGTATATATATATAATTATGGTACCTACATGCACTGAAAGGAGGGCACTTGTTAAGTGGCTAGTCGGCCTGGCTACCAACTACCATGTGGGGGCTTCATGCGGGCGCGGAAGAAAGCCAATGGCTGCGCACAAGGCTCCGTCACAAGTCAGGTTGACGAGAACCACCTGCCTAACAGGTACACATTTCGGAACTTTCACCCTTCAACCTATTTATAGGGGGTAATTAGCCCTAAGTTGCTTTAGGGCCACGGGCATGTAACAAAAATACCTACCCTTTTTTCCGACAAACGAAACTTGGAGAAGGCAGGACAAGAGCCATGAGGAAACGAGAATCAGACGGCGACGAACAAAAACTGGTGGACACATGACGCAAAGTGAACCGAAAGTGTGGGCAACCTGGAGGTCGAACGCCCGACTTGTGGGGGACTCCTCTTGGTGGATTTTACCCCCCCTAGCTGCCATGAACAGCAAACACAACACTTAATTGTTCTTCTGTTTTTAGAAGTTCCGACAATGGTTGGAATAGACTCAAGTCTGTTCCACACTGTTCGATATTCTCAGAGTATCTTTGATCCTACCCCCGCTTTTCACCCTCCTCTGTTTCCCAGCCTGAGGAAACCCTCAAAGGGTTGGATCTGTGGACAAAATCCATCTCGCACCAAATAACTGGTGGTTTATCAACAAGTATTCCAATCGGGTTTCATCCATTCCAACTGGTGCCGCTTGCCAGGAATTCTATCCATCGCTCCAAGCAGCCTGCACGATTTTTTTCCGTCCAAATCGATGAGCTCCGAATCGCAAGAGTCAAGTGAAGGGCGGGCTATGGATCCAGAGATCTGCGCAAGCACACCACACCCCTTGCTTTCGATTAAACCAACAAAAAACATGGTCTTGTGGTTTGGCAACTTTGAGATTCAGACGCTGGCCAACTTTCCTTGGATTGCGTGCTTAGCCCTGCCGTGCGGATTGGAGGGTATCGCCATCTCGGCTTTTGCGGCCGGGAGTCGCTCATTCCACCTCCTTCAGCACGAGTGCTGCAGAGGGCACTAGTTCCAGATCCTGAAGAATTTCGCAGCGAGGGAGGGGCGGATCTGCCTCAAACATATCTTGCCAGCCCTGCCATCCGTGGGGGAATCAACCCTGAGTAAATAGAGAAGCCTTTTTGGATGGTCCCAATGCTCAAACTTCAAATCGCAGACTTCTAAAAGCTTAAAGCTTGACTTTGGTTCGAGCCACTCCCCAAAACAAACCGACGAACGCACGTCCCAAAGTTTGAGGGTCGTGATGCAAAATTGTTTCATTTTTCATCGAAGGAATGAAGCTGCATGCGTGAAAATGCGGGGTGTTTTTGCACTAGCCATGAAGCGACACCTGCGGGTCATTTCGACCGTCGCTCCACAACTTTGACAAGGCCAAAACCTCAAAAACCAATGAAGAACTTGCACACGCCCCCCGCCGATCGCTTTATGGGTGCGACGACTTCCCAAAGATTTGCCAAACCTCCGGGCATTTCGGCATGTCTCAAAAAGAGTACCAGCCTCTGCCCTGCTTGCCTGCTTATTGGCAACATATTTGAACAGGAAACCGCTTCACAAGATGGATTTCGTGGCAGGCGCAGTACTTCAGGCTACCTTGAGGTCGCCGACCAAAGCCGATCAATTCCAGAGTTCGTCCAGATATAGAGCCACTCAGCAAGTACAGATTTGGACAGTACTCGGACTAGTGGTGGGAGATCGGGAGAGCCCTTACAAGATGAAAGCAAAAGGTATATCATATGCGTATGTCTTCAATATGGGGCATGAACCAGCTCTAGTTTTCGCTTGGTTTCCCTTCAAAACGAGCCATCGACTTGAACAAACTGCCGGCTCCCTCTCCTTCAGCGTTGCGGACCTTCGGATTCGCGGCAACTCGCCCACTTTCACACATTTTGGGGCTTTGGCGGGCCGTCCAACATGTCAATTGATCGACCCGGGTCTGCCGCGCCTATGGAACAACCAGGTGATTGGCGCACACCGCACCTTTCGAATGGGGAATCACAAGTCATGAGCCAAGAAAACACCAAAGCGCTGATGCCCTTTGAGTGAGGATCTCGACCTGGGAACAACAAACACCTCTGCTTCAGAAGACTCAGCAAAAAAAAATATGAGGCGAACTGGCTTGTTCTTCTGGGATCCCAGTACCATCCGTCAAAATGAGAAACCAAAACGACACCCAAACCCTCTTGGGGCAAGCGCTTGCCCACCGCCGTTGCGCTGCCCCCAAGCCTTAGCCTTTGGAGTGCCGTTGGGACAGGATTCCCGTGGCAAGGCACACCGCCTCTAGCCAAAACCACCTCAAAAGTGGTTGGTGGACATGAAGCCCCACCTACACGATGTCCACCAAAGGGTCCAACCACTTGAAACTCAGAAATGCATTCAATTTGATCCTGATCCTTCAAAAAACAACGGTACCAACTCATCAACACACACGCACACACCATGTGGTTATGATTTCAATTCTTGGGACATCATTTGGGAGGGGATTCCTCTTCCTCAACTGCTTTCGAGGTGGGCTCCCAGTTTACATTCACTGCCATAGCCATACGCCATTTGGCCATCAAAATGCGGTGAATGGACAAACGAACACCCAGCCTTTGCTAAAAACCGCACCGAGAAAATTCCAAGGGCGATGTATCGACTGGGCTCCCCGCCGATCCTGCAGGCTCCGCGCTGGGAAGCTGATGCAAAGCCTGAGCCGAAGGACTCGCGCCAGATGGTGCGTAGCCTTTGTCTGCTTGGGTTTTTCAAGCCAAAGGGACAACACCACGCTGTGTTTTAATAGATTTAATAGGCCCCTCGCATATTGCCACACAAGTTCCACCACCTTTAAAGAAGGGGGGGGGGGGACTTTTTCTAGGGAAACAGGGGTCCAACTATGTGTCCAAACTAGCAAGCATGACCCTGACGGGAAACTCACGGATGGGCCAAAACGATGGGAACTAGGTCTGGATGGGGTGTGTCCCCAAGTGAAGCATCCTTCTCAAGGGATCTGTTATTTGCGAAACCGGGAGCTTTATGAATCCAATCATTAGACAAAGGGTACCCGGTACAGCGAAACCAAAGGAAACATAGCGAGCGGGCTTTGAAACTCACCAGGTCATCTCAGGTTTGCGGCCCCCAATCAGGTCCCCAATCGTTGTGAGAAAGTTGGAGGGTCTGCACGCCGGCAAAGCCTATGACACCTAAGCACTGGGGGGCCGCGCTCGAACCTCTTCGGCTGGGCGACAGGCCGACAGCAGTGCGCCCACTCGTAGACCTGTCGAATTTTCTGGGCATTTTCCTATGGCTGTGTAAAGGAAAAGGACTACTGGGCGCTAAATGGCTGTCTCGGAAAAACAAAGAACAAAAACAAACACAAACGCGGGTTCCCCCTTCCCGCATGAGGACGCGTCAGCAAGCTTTCGCAAGCAGTCGCTGGCCTCCGCAAGTGGCAAAAGTTGCCGTGCCAGTGGGGAAGGCTCAACATGTGCGGTTTGCGACATGCTGCTTGCGTTCGCTCGTGCAAGAAAGGTAGCTTTTGCGGCGCCGCACATTATTTCGCTGTGCAAGTGCCAGCTTTTGGAAGGTGCGTGCTGGCAGGCACGCACACGCGTTTGCAAGAGCCTCAGTTTCGTTAGCCCTGTCGTGCAATCGGCTCGTTGTGGTCAACTTAAAATAAGTGTGTCGAAAACGATCGACGTCATTCTGGCGGCGAAGTCCCCGGTTTGAGAAACACGCTAACTGCAATGGTCCCAAAAAGCAGCAACAACTTCTATAGAGGCTAACTAGCTGGGACAGCAATTTGAGGAAGCGAGTGTTGCGCAGTCAAACATACTTTGATGAGATTCACCTTGTCCGGGGCATGGGTGCGGGCATTTCACTTGCAAACCTGGGGTTTGCGGGAGCTTACTGGGACTGGCTCGATGGGTTCAACTTCCGAGCGTGGAGCTCAGTCGCGCGGGAAGATGGCCGCTGCCGCTCGGCGGACAAGAGGTGCCCATCGCGCAAACGGGGGCGTTCCCTGGCAGTTTCGTTGTGGTTCTTTTGGGCTTGCGCACACCTCTCAGCATCCGGTTTATCGGGTTGTTTTGGGCTGTGTTGTTTTTGCCTGAAACTGCCTGAAATCCAACCACTACTGCGACCCCCAGTTAAGGTTGCCCAGCCTGCACCGACGAAGACGTCCAGCTACTGCGCATGTTGGGAGGTTGCGTTGCCACGAAGGGCTGCTACAACTGCTTCAGTTCCAGACAGCAATTCCGCGGAGTAAATTCACCACCGCTGTTGAAAGTAGGCAAACTGCTATGCAATTTGCGCTCGCGCAGCAGGTCGTATCTGAGAAAACCGTGGGATGGTCATGCGGCAGGAGGCGTTCTCTAGCCACGATCTTTGGTGGCACTTGACTTTATGCTGATAACAGTGCTGGTGAGGTCGCACATCGAACTTCGTGACAGGGTCAGCGCTTTGGTGGACGACTCGCAGGAGCATTGATAGAGAAATAGATAGCTTGGTAGGTAGGAATGATTCGTAGATAGATAGATAGATGGATAGATAAATAGGTTGATAGATAGATAGATAAATAGATAGATAGATAGATAGATAGATTGGTGGATGGAGTGATGAATTGGTAGGTGTGGGGACAAAAAACAAATGAGGATCAAAAACTACCCGTGCTCCAGAGATCAATATGGAAACAAATTGGTATGAAGCAACCAACCCAAACTGATTTTTTACAGAGCCCTCACCGTTCTTTGGGGTTTCCCGCCCTGGCCTTCTCCCTTGATCTCTTGAAGCTGTCAAGTAGGGGTCACACATGATGAAGAAGTCCTTTGCAGGGAGCGAAGTGTTCAACGACCTGTCCTACGATAGCGTTGTCGGTGCCATGGCTCATGTTCCCGTACAACACCCCGCGAGATGATGAAGCTGAGCGCAAGTACAGCCCGGCAACCGAAATGAGCACCGCGCCACAGCGAGAGCGATTCGACCATGCGAAACTCCGCAGAGAAAAAAACCACGGGGTTCCGAGGGTCAACCGATTCAAAGTCTGCAGAGGGTCGCGCGGGCGAATTGAAAATCAAAAAACCACGAGTTTTCGAGGGTCGAGCAGCCCAAAGTCTGCAAAGGGTCGCGCAGTCGATTCTCCAGAAGCCGCAGCCCCTCCCGCCCTCGCCCGCGCTCACCCCGGGCTCCGCTCAAGCGGTCCTGGTGGGAAAAGGTCGCTTTGATCCTGCTCTGCTGATGTCGCTGATATTCTGCTGTTTTGCTCGGCTTCCCCACAAATGAGCTCAGGGCCAAGCAGGGTGCCACTTGCCGAAGACTTGGGAGCTGTGATTTCCGCGAAGAACAGCCAGACCTCTCCCATTTTTGTCCCCAACCAGTCCAATTTGGGCTCTGGCGCAAGACCACAAGAACCAGCACACAACCATCGAACAGCCCAGTTTTGCCACGAACAACCCATGCTTTTTGTCAGAACGTACAAAACCAACACAAGAGCCAGCCCGGCTGCTGCGCTACTGGATTTCTCCGCCTCCTCCGTGGCTCTTGGTGGCGCCTCATATAACAGTGCGTGCAAAGGGGCCCAGCATCTCCAAGAAGGAAGCTCTCTTGGCGAGCTTCGCGGCGCTGGCTACACGAGCGCCGGCCGCGCGACCCCCCCTCAGAGCAGGACTCCCTTCACTAGCTTCTCAAGAGCTTTGTGTCACATCTCATCACCGAGGACAGACCACGTCACATACAGACATCAAGCCAACCAACAGCACCCAAGACCGCTCACGCGTCACGCACAACCATGCAAAACACATGCAGGGACCGTTTGGTTCCAACATCAAGTTACCACAAGGCCTTTTGGAGATCCTGTTTCCTCTTTTTCGACATTTCCTTCTGATTCATTGTTGTACTAATTCCTTCTTCATTCTTCCTTCTTTGGCCTTCCTCTTTCTTCTAACAAAACGGCAGCTGCCGCTGCAGCACCGCGACCCCGCGCCGCGACAGCGACATGGCCGCAACATGTCAACGACAGCGCTGGACTGAGTGACCCACTTTGTTGAGTTTGATTGTCGAGTTGCAGTCACATACAGCCATGCTGCCTGAATGAACCAACAAACGATCATCTCCGTCCCAAGTTTGAATCTCAAATGCCCCTTTGGCACACTGCAAAGGATGCGCTGAAACGTGCCATGAACTCAATAATCACTATTCACGCTTGTTTGACGCCTATTGTTTGCCTTCCATCCTCGCGTTCTTTCTTCTCCAGCGCGTGTCCTCATTTCAATCCTGCTGTCTGCTTGCCTTCCTTGCTGCCTTCGTAGCTGCTTTCATTCTGCTCTCCCGGCTTCTGTCTGTCTGCTCTCCTTGCACTGATCTAGTGCCTTGCTTAGTTCCTTCCTGCCTTGCTGCTTTCTTGCCTTTCTCTTCCCCTGCTTTTTCTCCTTCCTTTCTTCCTTTGTGTCTTCTTTTCTTGAGTCGCTTTCCTTGCTTGCTTTCCTTCCTTACTTCCTTTCCTTTCCTTCCTTTCCTTCCTTTCGTTCCTTTCCCTTCCTGCCCTTTCTTCCTTTCTGCCTTTCCTTCCTTCCTTCCTTCCTTCCTTCCTTCCTTCCTTCCTGTCCTTTCCTTCCTGATTTCCCTCTTTCGTCTCGTCCTTCCTCCCTTGCTTCCTTCCGTCCTTACTTCCTGCCTGCCTGATGTATTGCCTATATGTGATTGAATTGATCTCTGTTTGTTGTGTTGACCCCCTATTTGTTGTTGTGTTGAAGCGTTTGCCAAAAATAGATAGATCGATAGATCGATAGATTAGACTAGATTAGGATAGATTAGATCAAATATGTCAGATAGATATGTTAGATAGATTGCATAAATAGATAAAAATTGAAACACAGATAGATAAATAGATAAGCAGATAGACAGATAGACAGATAGACAGACAGACAGACAGACAGACAGACAAACAGAGAGACAGATAGACAGACAGACAGACAGACAGACAGACAGGCAGGCAGGCAGGCAGGCAGGCAGGCAGGCAGGCAGGCAGGCAGGCAGGCAGACAGACAGACAGACAGATAAAAACAGATTAGCTACATAGACTTGATAGATTGGATAGATTAGAACGAGTAGATAGATTAGATAGATTTTACAGAATAGGCAGATTAGATAGACATGTCATAGATTAGATTCAGTACAATAGATAGACTGGATAGATCAGATAGATTCGGTACAATGGATAGATTAGACAGATTTAGATAGATAGATGGATGGATGGATAGATACACAAACAGACAGACAGACAGACAGACAGACAGACAGACAGACAGACAGACAGACAGACAGACAGACAGACAGACAGACAGACAGACAGACAGACAGACAGACAGACAGACAGACAGACAGACAGACAGACAGACAGACAGACAGACAGACAGACAGACAGACAGACAGACAGACAGACAGACAGACAGACAGACAGACAGACAGATAGATAGATATATAGAGAGATACATAGATAGATAGATAGATGGATGGATGGATGGATGTATAGATAGATAGATAGATAGATTAGATTAGATTAGATAGATAGATAGATAGATAGATAAATTGATAGATAGATAGATGGATACATAGATCGATCAATCGATCGATCGATAGATTAGATAGATAGATGCATAGATCGATCGATCGATCGATCGATCGATAGATACATAGATCGATCGATAGATAGATATATAGACAGATAGATAGATAGATAGATAGATAGATAGATAGATAGATAGATAGATAGATAGATAGATGGATGGATGGATAGACAGACAGACAGACAGACAGACAGACAGACAGACAGACAGACAGACAGACGGACAGACAAACAGATAGATAGATAGATAGATAGATAAATTAAACTCAAATAGATGCATGGATGAATAGGCACATGCATATACAATCAAATCAATGGGTCAACTGGCGGGCAAGTGGATAGGCAGGGGCACACAACGGTAGCTCGTCAATTTTATATTGCATCCGGGCTGCTGGCTTCCATCAGGATTGAACAATGTACAAAACAAAGTCAGTGGCTGTATGGCACCCCGGCGCTGCTTTCGTATCTTTGAACCTGGGTGGGGATCCCTAGCTCTAGTGGCAAAGCATGCTCTCAAGGGTGCCCCTTTAGCCATGCCCGATACCGCCTGGGCAGTGCTCGCTATGGTGCTAACCGGAACCACTGTGATGCATGGTTATGTGCTCATGGGCGTTTCATGGCTTCCCCTCCAGGTTTACACAGGACCATTGAACAGCTAACCTGGGCAAAGGAAGATCGGTGCTCTGGAATGCCCACCTATGGCTCCATGATGTCACGATCAGAAAGGGCCACCCGAAACTCCAAGCGACTTGCTTTCAGGGGAACAGCCCGAAAATCCCGACTTGTCGCGACATTGAAACGGCGAGCTACCGGTAACCCTACAACGACCCCGTCTGTGGACACCCGTGCAGGGCCATATGGCAAGAAGTTCTTGAAGCCTTCCCGGCAGTCAGCAGTCCCTTTAGTTTCCCAACAGGGCGTGAAACCAGCCTTTGGAGGGATCGAATCCTGTTTTGACACGTAAACCCACCTGTCGATCAGGCTTAGGGAAGTATATCAAGGGCTGAACAACAACTAAAGTTGCTCTCAAATGACACTGACTTGGTTTGGCTTAAAGACTCCCGACCTTCCCATTCTGTCCGAGCCCCTACTTGCATGGCTGAAACCACAAGTAACGGGCCTTGTTTGTGGTTGGCCATCTCAAGTGGAACACCAAACAGGGGCACTGGAGGTCACTGGTAGGTTCCACTACAACAGGTCCATTTTTGGGGTGGTAAATCTCAGCTCCTAAGTGGCTTGGCCGGAGACCGGAGAAAGGGCTGAAACTTTCCGTGTGCCACTAAAATGGTCCCCCAAAAAGTAACAAAAGTCAACAAATGAACTCAGGAAATGAGCTTTACATGGAGAATTCAAAACAAATCCTGTCCGAAACCCAACTTAGGGAGTGTGAGCCCCCCCCGCTCCCCCATCGCCTGCGCCAGAGTCTGGTCCGCTTGGAAGGTCCGCTGCAATCGCTCCCCGGAAGGCAGCTGCACACGAATCCTCACGGCTTGCCCTGAATTCAGCCCTCTCACACGGTTCCTCCATTTCCCTTTTAACCTCCAAACGTGGCGGTTTGAATAGAAACCAGCATCTCTTGAGGTGGAAATCCAGCCGGTGGTTTGGAGATTTGTGTGTTTCCAAGTTGCCCTCTGCAAAAACTACAGGATTAGATCCCAAAACCACCGTTTCGCTCTAAATGGGGGGGGAGTTGTTCTTGAGATTTTCAGGTTCCATGAAAATGCTTGGTTTCCGAATGTGTCCCTTTACCAACCGAAAGAGAAATTCGGATCCCGTTGTTGAGACATCCCAATACGTGAGTGTTGATGCATTTGCTTGATTAGATTTTGTTTGGGTTGTTGATTCCCTAGATGTTGCAAGTAAACAATCCACCTCAAATCAAGATGCAGTAAATTACAGTAAATGACCTGGCTTCCCTTCCCCTTGTGTTGCTTATCACACCGACGCTCGGGTTTTGCTTTGGGGACTCAAGTAAACTTAAACAGTGAGTCAAGACATTGCTTGCGGGGGTTGAAACATGGTCATTAAAGTGGTGGTGTACCAGTATTCTGAGCCACACCCAACAACCAAACACTTTTAACACAAAACACTCTGGGTACTTTCGCCTTTGGCTCTGCGTTTCTTTTGCAATGCCTGATGATTTGCAGATGTACCTGATGTACCATGTTGGGCGCAAGAAGCACCAATTTAGATGTGAGGCATCATGTCATCCCATGTCATTTTACCCTTCGTGGGATAATAGTGGGATAAGTTCCAAAGTTTAAAGGGATCCATAGGATGAGGACCCCTGGAATCCCCTTGGTCTCAAGGCCCCTTACATGGATAACCCTGGGTCCTTGGCCCCTTGCAATATGACCTCTGCCGTTCGAACATTCACTTGGCAAACCACATACTTTGGTATCAAGCAGCACCCGGGTCCCAAGAACCGCGTTTTGGACAGCACAAGGAGAGTTTGGACATGAAGTTGGGGGGGCGTATAACCTTCATTTGGCCATGGTTCAAAATCGCGTCCCAGTGAACATCCCAATCCCCACTAAGATAGACTAAAATGGGTGGTGCACCTACCCCAAAATGGGATCCCAAAGAGGTTTTGACCCACAGCCATTTCTCCCGGTGCGGAGGTGTAACCAGACCCGTTGAAAGGATACAGCCAACGTCCAACGGCAACTGCCCGGTCGGCCGTCGGCCGTCGGCCTGGCTGTGGCATTGGCCGCCGCCTGGCGGCTTAGCGGCTTAGCGCATGCCGGAGGGTCCCGACTTGACAGGTAAAGCAAAGGACCAGCTGACATTGCAGACTTCTGAAAATAGTGGACCCCTTTTTGGGGGGTCTTCAAGGGACAACAAAGGGGAAACACAAAAACAGTTTGGCGTGCCACTATTTTGAGCAACACCCACATGAATAACATAAACCTCCTGAAGAATCTATTTGCTTGAGGTCCTTTTGTCGGTTTGGCAGAACAATGCTAATGCCACTGGTCATGAAGAAGAATTGACTAGCGCGTTGACGCCACTACAAAAACCCAGCACACTCAGCTTGACAAATGGCAAGGCACCCGCCGTCTCCAGAGACCGTCCCCCCCGCTCCAAAAAAAACAATCCACACAAAACAGAGGTACAAGCAATTGGCCCAAAACAGAAACACGCATTCAAACAAGCAAGCAAAACATGCGCACACGACAAGCAAACAACCGCAAAGAACAACCGCCCCCTCCCCCCCCAGTTAAGCATACAAGAGCAGCCAACCAACTGAACAAGCAACAAAAACCAAACAAGCAAGTGGGCCCACAACGAACAAACGAATCAGCGAGCAACCAAGCAATACAAACAAGTCCATGGAAGAAACAGGGAAAGCCAACCAGCTCAAAGGCAACCGGGAAACAACCAACAAAAAAGCAGCCCCTCAACCAAACCCAACCAGCCAACCAACCAACCAACCAACCAACCAAGCAAGAAAGCAAGAAAGCAAGAAAGAAAGCAAAAAGTCAAGAGAGCAACCAACCAACCAACCAACCAACCAAACCAAACCAACCCAAATCAAACCAACAAACAAACAAATAAACAACGAAACAACTCCTCACCTCAAGCAGACAACTGCTCCCGCCTGCGGTTCTGGTTGAGCCAGAATCTCCTCAGCCCTGCTCTGGCGCTTGGCTTCCTGAGCGTCGTCTGTTTCAAAGACCCTACCAGGGCACCTGAACCCTCAAAGTACCCATTAAAATGGTTTTCACCCCATATATTTGGAGGGTCTACAGGGACGGCGGGGGACAGTTCTTGGAGCAATTACCAATTTCTAAGGGAATTTTGAGGGTCCATTGGTTCCTCAGGAAGGGCCGGGAAATTTGAAACAAATCTGAAAATGTTTCAAGTGTTTGGTCATCCAAGTCCGAGAAACCCTGCAATGAGATTGTACGTTCTTGTTTTCGGCCATAGGGATTGTGGTATGAGCGCTTGTTGGACCCGTAAAACAAAGGGAGCGCGGGTCAAACTAGACTAAAGTTCCTAAACTTCCATGTGCCTCAAGTGACTCTAGACACTACCACATGGTGTCACCATCTATGGCCAATTCTTTTGAAATCAGCAGGGACACGCGCTGCGATAATAGTTCCAAGCCCCCGCGGAACTATAAATCTAAAAATTGCATGACTTGTTGAAATCACTTTGCAAACACTAAGAACTCACTTTTGCCTTTGACCCCTTCCAACACCTGGCTCAGTGGCAAGTCTTAAAACAACACCGGTGCCTTAACTTGGCTCTGGAATACATAGAAAATCATATGTTCAGATTGTGTCTCATAGATAGTCTACGCCAAAATATAACATAGCTTGGGGTGTGCCTGCTAGCCCTCCGCAATGGTGGTTTTCCCGCTGGTTTCCCCTTAAACACTTCAAAGGAGGGTCTCCACCCCTCCTCCAAAAAGACAACCCCTTTTCCAGGCAACAGAAAGGACAGCCCTAACAAGCCTGAGGCCCGCATTTCACTAGATTTGTCTTAGCGCTGGTGCTTTTGGGGTGTACAGATTTGCACGACACAGCCAGAAAGCAGAAAAAACAGAACAGGCTCTGGCCACACCTGTGCCCTACATGGTCCTTTCTTTTGGAAGATGTTTCACCTTTTAAGGGGCTCTGCCAATCTTTAGGCTCCGGCTGATCCTCTGTGGATTGGTTGTTGTTTCAGAAACCATTGTCCACGACACACTTTGCCCGCTAGCTGAAAGCAGTTTTAAATTTGACTGGCTGTCCTAGCTGCCAATGGCGACAGGGACAAAACAAAACACATTCTTGCTTGCTCATGTGCATGAGACTGCTTGTCACGGGAACTCAAATGGAAATGATTCATCTCCACACCAAGTCCCTTTCACTCCAAAGAGACCTCCAACGTATTTACATATCGTGGACATATCAAGCCTTACAAGCTGCGAAAGCAAAGCACTCTATCGGCAATGAAACTTCAAAGGGTTTTCAGAGACCTTTAGCTGCCCAGTGCAACCCCTTCTACAAAATAAGACCGTTTCGGGATTGACCAAAAAAAGGAAAAAGAGGAACTCAGTCAACAAAAGCCATTCAAGCAACCCAAAAGAAAGCCCTCAGAACGACACTCCCATGGTCCAATGTGTATATTATTACAATCAGCCTATTAGTATGTTCAGCATGATTATTATTTTACTTAGTAGTATCGTTACCACGATTATCATTATTATTATCATTATTCCCACTACTATTACAAATCCTTCTATTCCTTTTTCTATTATTATTACTTTTATGAGTTGTATAATGAATATTATGAGTATTATTATAGCTTTTAAAAGACATCGTTGTTATTACACAACAACCTGTTCAAGGCATGCATCACCAAAAACGCTTGTTCATTATCCACAAATATTTCTAATATAGTTGTATAAATGTCATACATGTCTGTGATTTGCCTCGACATAGGCGCCACGTAGCCGGCCTCCTCAGCTTCCGCCTTCGCCGCTTTCGCCGCCGCCGCTGCCTCCGCCTTGGCAGCCGCTTCCGCCTCCGCTTTGGCGGCAGCTTCTGCCTGCGGAGCGCGGATGGGCATGAAATTTAATCAGGGAGCTTCTGGTGGGGTTTTATGTCCACCACCACTTTCCAGGGGGGTTCCTTATTTAAATTCATGGCCATATGATTGAAGGGAAGACTCACTATATCTCACTATGAAGCACTTTATATTTAGGGTAGACAAAATATGTGGTTCTCGTAGTTGGTTTGCGCGGGCGGGTGCACCGCGGACCGCGCACAATTGCAGGAGCCTATTCCCGATGATTTGCATTTGTCCTTCGAGGCTGTTCTGCTCTGCTTGTGGGGAGCAACCTTTATACTTCCATCCGGTTCCAGGGGTAACCTCGAGTCAGTTGCAAATGAATGCCGCTGCCCACGCGCAGAGAACAAAATAACATGGGCACGGCTCGGTACTCCGCGAGTCGAGTAGCCAAGATATCAGTTGGCTCACCCAGTGATCATTGAGCGGCTCAAAACGTAGGAGCAAACCCGCTCAGCTCAGCTTGTCACACTGAGTCGCCAACACATCCAGATGAATGGCGCCTTTTGTCATTGACCGATCCAAACGGATGCAAACAAAATAAGGTCTCCCTGCGGAAACAAGTCTGCATCACGCACGACCCATCCCACAAAGGTCAAATGACCGGAGTTGGTCACGCACTCAGCTCGGTCCGCCTCAGCCTTGGCTTTGGCTGCTTCTGCTTCCGCCGAAGGGCTACTCTCCTGGCGTCTGGTTTGTTGGCCACCTGAAAAATAACCCACTCAAGAGACTTAACTTGGCCACCTGAAAAATAACCCACTCAAGAGACTTAACTCCAGGGAAGCTAGATCCTGAGTGGGTAGAATGGGTCATAATCTGGGTTACAACTTGCCAACTTGGCCAGGCAACATAGCCCCCTGCAAAGATCTAACGGTTTTTGTATTACACCCTGGGAATACACCCACTGGGTATTGACCCCATTTAGGCACATTTCCGGAAAACACCGTGTTATTTTGAGCCATTCTGGGTCATTTCTCAAGGGTGTAATCCCAGGGTGTAATACAAAAACCCTCAGAAAAGACCCAAGGGCTGGGGATTCACTACCAACGAAATAACAAAAACGGCCCTAAGGGTTAAAAGGGTGCTTGGAGGGATAGGGACCCGCAGGAATGCTGTTTGACCCACTCAACCTTGGACGGTGAATTTACCTCTCCTGCTTTCGAGAAATGCGGAGATGGCGCCATGCTGAGACAAACCCGTATGCAACAAACAAACCTCGCAGTTGGCCAAGGGTGTGGCGCGGCCCTTGAGCTGAACTGAGTGTCCTTTATGTGGCCTTGCAATTTCAGGGTTGGGCTCTTGGCCCTTGTGCAAACATGTTTGAATGGCTCGTGTTTCTCGGTTGCTTTCTGCTCCCCTGCCACAAGTTCAACTTTTATAAGTGGTGGAAAACCCATTAGTTGGTAAAACAACAGTTACAGTCCTAACATCCCTTGGCAACATGCACCAAAGGTTTGATGGGCCTCCCGTTTTGCCTGGTTTCTTACGTAGTTCAACCAACCGTTGCCCAGAGAATAGAGCTGGCTTCGTCCTGGGAACGGATGGCAGCCAGCTGGTCTGCCAGAAGGCCCTCCTCGTACTCGCGGTCCTCCCAACTCGTGGGGGTTCTCAGGTTTATTTATCTATTTGGATCTCAGAATTTGGATGGGGTTTCTCATTTCTTGTATTTGGATCTTAGAATTTGCTGGGGGGTTTGGGGGGGAGGGCATTGTATTATGGCCCTCTCCTTGTGGCTGGTTTCTTCGTCGAAAAAGCAGCTCAAAGAACTTGTGGGGGTCCCTGGAAACCCAAAGGTTCAGCTTCCAGCTTGGTGGTTTGGATTCCATTTGCACTCAGGCCAGGGCTGTGGCCCGAGAAATGGGGAGAGTCGAACTTCCCAAGTATCAGAAAGGAGGCCCTTACCATCCAGGTACTTCATGGGAGTTCCAGATACCAAACCAACATGAGGTTCAAAAGCAAAGCTTTGGTCATTTAGAGACGAAGATATATTTTTTGTTGAAGCATCCGAGTTTTTAGTCACGAATCTTCGTCGTCCCGTGAAATCTCAAGAGCAATCTCCAAGTTCAAACGACCCTCCTGTTCCGCCAAGACTCGTTCTTCGTGTAACCACTCAGTCTGGTCACGCATAATGTAGAAAGACCATCGAAAGTTCTTCAACATTTGTCCAACAAGTGCAAGCCATCATTGTACAACAACCCAAGTGGAAATTCGTCTCGTGAGGCTTCTCGACAAGCTCCAAGTGACCAACATCCACGCAAATAACTTCTGCAAAAAGCTCTTGAATCTCCTTTGCAGTCTCAGGAGTTCTGTCGATTTGTAGCGGGATTGTTTCCTTAAAAGAGACCGAACTTGCTCATTCAGAGGTCAAAGAAGCAAGACCGCATTTTTGACAATGCTTTCGAAAACAGAGTCTGACACACTGTGGATGGACGAAAAATCCTGCACCACTTGGAAACCATCCGAAACTACGGTTTATTGGTTTTTACAATGGAATCATTATTCCAGAGATTCTTAGGTGGTGCAGGAATTCGTCCATCCACAGTACCAAACACACTTCCCTTTGGAATGGCCGACTCGACAAAGTTCCACTCTGTAGTGAGACAACCGCCCACTCCTTTCAACAAAGCACGGCATTCTTGACATTTCGATCGAGGGAGCTTGACGAAAAGATTGGAGATGCAATATCTAAGGAAGCAAAAGTCTCCAAGAGCCTTGTCAGATCAAATGGGCTATCAAAGTAACCTTGCATCTTCAGTAAGATATTCGAGACATTCTCGATCGTCGAGAGATCTCCAGATTGTTGTCGCATATCTCTTCCCAAGCTGTGGCCGCTGAGAAGATAAGATATCCCAGCGTCACTGTTGCCGAAGCCTCCATTTGCTCAAGCCCCCAGGGAATAAAAGAGTCCAATGATAGATTCTCAAAATTAAGAGGGGAGAACAAAGCATATTCTCAAGCAAATGGCAGCCCAGAAAGCTGTCTCTTCAAAATTAACAGGGGAGAATAAAGCATATTCTCAAGCAAATGGAAGCAATCAGCTTCAAGCTGCTCCAGAAAGCTACAGCCGATGCCCAATCACTGTGGTTAGAAGTGAACATGTGAACACATCGGTCTGTGTAAACGCAGCCGTAAACTCTCTCTTCCATTTGGTTGTTGCAATGTTCCCCTGTTAATTCTAAAGGGAATCTATCACTACAGGAATTGTTCTATATTTTTCCAGGGGGCTTAAGCAATGGAAGCTCTGACAGCAGTGAAGTCGCTTTGAAAGTTCCATAATGTTGTCTTGTGGATATCAGCGGCTCGCACAGGTGGAAATCTCTGTAGTGGTTACTCGGGTCTGTTTGACAGGATGGTATCCAAGATTCTGTCATAGACCCGGACAGGATCCTTTTAAAACAACGGATGTTGCTCTCATCAGAACCTGATCGTTTAGTCTTCCTAGGTGAAGCGGAATAGCTGAATGGAAAAGTCAGGATTGTTTGCAGGTCGGTGACTCAATTTGCCGTCGCTGGCGCCTGGACCCACCGAGCAAAAAGGGACGTTCGGGGAGGTCTGACCCTAAGGGTGGAGCATGCACCAAATGAGCCTTGCGACCCGTACAAATTTCTGGGCTACTCGGAGGTTAAGCCCCATCGGTCTGCTGGGTTTCTAAGCCCTGAAATTTGGTCCACTCCAAGGAGAAAAACCCTCTGGACCAAGACTTGCTGGTGCGATTGGGAATGATAATTGGAATGACCCCTAGCAAAACCATCCATTTCCGATTTGGTTTCCTTTATTCAGGAATCCCCTAACACCGGTTCTCATTCCGTCACATTGACATAGCCCTACCTCACTTCCTGAGTGGATCCGCCAAACAAGTCCAAACTGGTTGTTTACCACTACCCCAGGGTCCCGACTGTTTTTGGGCCCTCCAAATGGGTTGTTGTTGAGGGCCCTTGAGGAATTGGTCGGGGTTCTCCATTGGAGGATCCGGGGGTCCGCATTGGAGGGGTCATGCCCCTTAGGGCAAGTGGCGTCCAAGTCTAAAGTCCAAGAGCTCGGGAAGTGAGTTGCACATCGCAGCTAGAGAAAGCCCACCGGCCGCTTGGACTGAGGCTGGCGGAGCCGCCTGCTGCTCGCGGAGCCGCCGGTCTTCCGCCAGCTGCAGGTCCCGCAGCGTCTGCTGCTCCTTACGGAACGGGGTTTGGTGAGGCTTCGCACCCAACTGCCCAAAAACTGGTCTCAAGAAAGGAATTCCCTTGCCAACCCCCGAGGGTGTCAGTTGCAGGCTTGTTAGCAGCATGCCCCAGCTGCATGAACCCATCAGGCTGCCCCCCCCGCCACCTGGACCCTCAAAATGATGGGGTGCTTTCCTTTTTGTATGGGTAGTTTGAGGGTCCAGGTATATGTGTCCTTCAAAAAGGGGAGGTGCACGAAACTCTTGAGACAAGGGTTGCCCATAGTTTCCCCTTAGGAGGTGGTCGCACTTCCTCTTGGTGGGGTGAGGTTAGAGACACTTGGCCATGGGTCAAAATCCAAATCGTACCCCCAGTGAATCTCCCAATCCAACCACTAAAATAGGTTCTAAAATGGGTGGTGAATTCACCTACCAACCAAAATGGGATCCCAAAACGGTTTTGACCACCACAGCCATTTAGAAAGCTCCGAGGCCCATCACACAGCCTCCAGGTTCTGCACCTCTTCCCGGAAGTCCTCTCACGGCGCATCCATTTCTGCCGTGTTCAGATCCCCCGCGAAAAGTTTGACTCACTTTTCGTGGGTCAAATTCGGAAACTACACACTAAACCGCTAAAAGGATCTCAAAAGCTAAGGAACCGGATGGCTGGTTTTGTTGGATGGTTTGTAGGGGTCATTCCCTCCTCAGTCCCTGCTGAGCACCAGCATTTGAACCCCCCAAAAGGAAACCCAATATTATTCTAAGGGCTGATTCGCCATTCCTTTCAACCATCGTTCTTTTCAATAACCGGCCGTTTTCCCTGGGTTTCCGGAGGTTTTCTAGAAAGAAGGATCCCGGGAAAGAACGGGAAAGGCACCCTTAGAAGTGTCTACCATAGGGGAAGCCAGCAGCCAACTCAGGACACGAAATCCCAGGGTCTTGGAAAGAATTTCCAGTATAACTTCAGATCAACTGACGTGCACCCCTGAGGAAGGACCAAGTGTTCTTTAAACCGATCCGAGAAAAACTGGGTTCAACCCTGAAGGGAAAAAAAGGGAAACCGTTCACCAATGTCATCTTCCCTTAAGCTCTGATCAGCCTCGCAATAAGGACAATTGCAACCTCACTTCTTTTACCGCTAAACTGGGCTGCCCTCAGATCCCCTAAAGTTTAACTTTCAGTCGGTTAAATTCGGAACTCCCCACTAAACCAACTAAAAGGATCTAAAAAGCTTTCTAAAAAGAACCGGATGGCTGGTTGAGCCACCAACAAAAAATGCCACTGGCCAGAACCCAAAAAAGTCCAGCCCAGAAGCTCAGGAAGTGAGTAACCCCATGAAAGAGATATCTCCATGCCGATGGCTCCAAGCTAGGGGGCTTAATCTTGATCTTCCGATCGGTCCGCCCCAGCTTTTTGGCTGGGATTTGCGTGGCTCCAGTCAAAATGTCAAACTTGTTTTTGGTGGTTCAGCTACAAAAAAACACCCCCACAAATGACCCTAAACAACGTTTCCCATCATGGTCAAAGTCTTTTTGTGGGTGGTTTTCCTATGCGCCCCATGTTCATGGGACCTTGCCGCTTCAAACCGGCGACAAGATGAGCACAGGTTTCATCGGGGGCTATGAATTTGCGGATACCCTAGGAAAACCAGAGGTGTCCTATTTGGAAAATAGATGGTCCTGGTAGATGATCGAACCACCAGGTAAACCAGGAATCACCTTCTTTTTGTTTAAGCAAACCAACCAAAAAGGACACCGATGCAAGGAAAACCATACGAGCTGATTCCTAAGGGCCATTCCCTGAGAACCAGCCATTCGGTTCCTTCACCCCGCGGGCATGTCTAAAAACGCTGTTTCTTTGTGGATGCACGCAGACAGGCGGTTTAAAGAGTAATGATCAAAAGGACCAACAGGCGCAAAAGGTGGAACATTCCGAAAGCGCATTTAAATGGTTTTCTAGGCGGCTGTGGGTCAAAAATATGTACCCAAAATGGACCCCTGGTAAGTGGAAACATGGACCAAACCTGCGGTCCCCTGGTGGTTTAATTTTGACCGCCCAGGTCCAGCAAAACATACGTAAGCCCAGAAGAAGATATCACGGCAGGCGATTTTAAACCCCACTGTCCATCGCAGTCATGGTGATAGTCGCAACGACCTGCGCAAGCCACGAATCGAAGGTTCGAGTGCGTCAAACGGAGCCATCAAAATCCCGGCAGTCTCCCCAATGGGCATTCATTCATCGAAGGATTGGGGATCTTTCGCCTGTCGTTCTCTTAATCATGGCTCTTGCTCCCTGATTTGTGCGAACATACCAAAGGTTTCCGCAAGGTTGCGGGTTGAAGCTCCAGCCAAGTAGTATTCAGGCTACTGTTTCAAATAAAAGTTATGACAGCACAAAACGATCAGGACGTGCTCCATATTCTGAATCTGAGGCTCTGCCAGAGACACGATTACATGGTGTCAGAGCTCCTCATGCATAACTCTGACTTGCTACCCTTAGCAATTATCTCCCAACAATCCTGTAAATGGGGAGCAGGAGGTTGCTTTTTGTTGAGTACATGCTAGTCTGCCAAGACCACGCTTGCAGTGTTGAAAAAGGGATGCACACTCCTGCAACAACAACACCCTGGGGTTCAAACCACCATCAAACCCATGCGGGTTTATGTAACCACGATTATTTACCCAAGGAGGTTCATCATCCAAATTGGGTCAACCAGGGACCATTATTTTAATGAAGGCAAGGACTTGGTTGACGTTGGAAGGGGAGCAAACATATAAATTTTACCAGTCAAGTGGTTGGATTTCAACCACGAAACCGCAATAAGCAAATATGCAAAATGTTTCCCAACCCTTGGTTGCTGCAACGACCCCCCTGCAAAAAGTGAACTTTTTGGGGGTTTAGCGGAAAACACCACTTGATTTTCCAAAAAGTTAAAGTCTAAAGATCCGTTGCCCAATAGCAGTCAAGATAACAACAACCATGAGGAACCAGTTCGGTCTTTTAATGGAGGTTGAACCCTAGGGTGTTTGGATGAACCTAGGGAGCCTCCAAGGCCATTCAAAAGATGATGGCAAGGAACTCCCGGGAACAGGATTCATGAATCGGAAAGTGCCAAAGGATCCTCTCAGCTCGACTCGCAAATTCGACTCGCCCCAGCCATGTCCGAGTCCAAAGCTGCGTCCTCCGGCCTCGCAGCTTAGGAACTGAGGGCATCCAGAACCATGTGCCAGCTGGGCGAACCTGCTGTTCTGTTGGCTCTTTTTCTTGTTCTTTTTTTTTGGGGGGGGGCAGGGGAGGGCGTTCCTGAAAACGTGCTCCGGCTTCATCTTCAAATGGGATCCCACGTAAAATTCAAGCAGAGGGACAACTGTAGGTTCATTAAATCAGTCTTAACACTCTATGCAAACTACCCGTATCTACAAAACGCGCTCTGCAACTTATGCGGGGTCTTCTTTTCGGGGGAATAGGGCGCTTTTCAAGACTGCAAGGCAAGTGGTCAGGGGCACTGCTAGAGAACCCGGGCCCTGCAGGGTGAGCTCCAGCTGGGTCAAAAGCGAGTGGCTGAGAAACTTGCTTGCCGACTTACCTAGGTCCTCCAGTAGAGAGGTTAGAATAGGGGTACCAACATTTTTCTGTCGTCTATTTTAGTAGGGGAACCCTCCAAAGGGCACTACTGGGGCACCTAGTTAAACCCATAGATTTCTCAAAGGGAAGACTCTGCTCAAAAGGGCCCAAAGGAAACCAGCCTCGTGCATCTCAAATGGAACACCAAGTCGTCAGTGACCGGGGGTCCCTCTAACTCTTTTGTTCCCCTCACATCACCAGGAAGATCACCCCAAGGCAAGCAAACGGAGTTTCACCAAAACTCCCAAAAAGGACAGATCTCCAGCGCCCACACCGTTTTGAAGGGGATTCCGGACATGGTGGAAAAAGTAGTCGCAAAAGGTGGAGTTAAACAAAAAAAAACAGCAGGAAAAATATAGGTATCTCCCCAACGACTGCTTTTTGGTTGCCGTACCAAGGGGATTTTTGGACAAGGTGCGGGGGACGGGAACACCGGTGCACTGGTGCTCCGGTGCTCGCGTGCGCCTGGGCCCCCGTGCACGCAGCGGTGCATGGGCTGGCAGAAGGTGCCCAAAGGCCACTCGATGCCCAGACTCGGCGCGAGAAAAACGAAGAGCGGAAGCCGTTTTGGCGGGTGGGGGGGTGGGCCTTGGTCGCCCTTCTTGGTTTTTGTTAGAGGTGGAGGGCTGGGCCTTTGTCTCTTCATTGGCTTCCTCCGCCATTTCCTGCGAAACATTGGGCCAACGGCGGGCGGTGCGTGGACTGCGCCTTGGTGGTCCTTCTTTCTTTTGCTAGAGCAGGGCTGGAGTTTGATTGCTTCTTTTTGGAGGGAAGGGAGCATCTTTTTTGACTGAACTTTGGTTGATTTCTCCACTAAACCCTTGGACATTGCTCAGCTTGGCCATAGGTGGATACAGTCGCCCAAATTGGTTGCGCCTTTGGGTTCCCCCTCCGAGCTCCAAAAAAAAACACGCTGCATGTCCAGAACCCGGGACAGGGTTTGCCAACGTCGGCTAACTGCTGAGAGCCCAGAAAACCGACAATCAAACCCCCCTCCCCGACGTCCGCGCAGCAGCGAATCCGCGAAAAATCCTCGACGCGTTGCTCCGAGCTCGCCGCAAGTTCTGAAAGCCGTTGGTCACCGGCTGAAGCACCACCAAGGCCGGGAACTTCTGAAGTCCCAGCAGCCTCGCCCGAGTTGACGACTCGGCTCGGCCCATCGGCCCCAATTGCCCACTGGCTGTTGCGGTTGGTGTTTTTTTGGGGGGGAGGGTCCTTCTCATCCTTGACCTTACTGTTACCAGGGACCCTGCTTTGGGGGTGTAACCTACCAAACCAAAAGGGACTGGATGAACTTGGGTTACACTCCGGAGAATTTGGATGCTACAAAGAAAAACGAGTTCTCCGGCATGGCTTCTTGGGTTCCATGGCAGGTACGCCATACTTGCCGCATTTGGGGCAGGTTGTCAATTTTGTGCTTGGGAAGACTGGTGTTCGTTCCTGGCTTTTCTATTAATTGTTTGTGAGTTGGCCATGTCCCTCCCATATGGCCCATGAACAGTACTTATAGTTTGACCAAAGCTCATAATGTTGGCCTCCCGCGGGTGGAAACGCCACAGAATGTTTGGGCCAGCAAGACCCAAAGAATTCCGAAAGACCCTAGACTTATCCAGGAATGTTGACCCAACCTCAAATAAGCTGCGCAAACCCGAGCTGACTTTTGGTTCTAACATGTTCATGGCTGACTTCCCGGCTTTGCTACAACCCCACTGAAACCCGGCAGCAGAACCTACTAAAACGCTCCACAAGCTTAACTGAGTCCCGATCAAAATCTGGTACTAGCATGGTCTACCCAGAGCCGTGTCAAGAATTAGAAAGGCGGCTGGCGCCACCTGTCTATGGTTGGGATTCTCCCCTAACCTTCATCTACCCGAATCGGTTTTGAGCAAGTCTAGGTCCTCCTAGAAGAGACGGTTAGAATAGGGATACCAACTTTTTTCTGTAGTCCATTTTAGGGGAACCCTCCCAACCAAAAAAAAAGGAGAGAAGGGCACTACTGGGGGGACCTAGCCAAAGCTTCCCCAAAGACTTGGGTGTCTCACATAGGGAAGCCGCAAGTGCGCTTGGGCTTCCGATAGCTTTTGACAGCAACCGCAAGAGGGGGGCAAAGCCTCAAAAAAGACACGCCCATTTCGCTGTGATGGAAGTGGATTTCGGGAGGAAGGAAGTGGCTCAAACGGAGCCCTTGGCCTCGCCCGAGGCTTTTGGTTCGGCGCCCACGCCTTGCCACCTGAGAGGGCTCGAAGCGGCCCACGTCGCCGGCCCAGAGCAGGAAGCTCTCCTATCCGACAACGGGCGGCTCTCGGGCGGTTTGAGCGGTTTGGGAGAGGGATCCAAACGAAGCGGAAGAAAAAACACGACTTAGGCTGGTCAGTGAAGAAAGGAAAGGAAGAAAGGGCAAGGTGAGCTAAGTCTGGAAAGGGTGCGGGATTGACCTGACTCAGGACTATCCATAAGTGACACCCAAAGGGGCTGTATCCTTTTCGCCACTTCTGACCTGAGTCTCGAGCATCCCTAAATCAGCTTGCCCTGAGGGGACCAAGGGGGGGAGGAAAACTGGGGGCTAAATCGGGACAAATCTCATGTCTTCCCAGCTCGTTGGGCTACGTAGTTCCACTACCATGCTGCACAAACAGCTGCAAGGCCAGGGGTGAGACCCAAACCACCAATCAAGGGTTCTCAGAGCTACGTAGCAGGCCTGGTGCCTAGTCAGCACTGGCTTAAGCAACACAGGCATGTTCAGAAAAGTGGTCTTTGGCCTTTCCGCCGATTTCCGCGTATTTCCCAGTGACTTCTGCGTATTTTCCGCCGATGTCCGCGTATTCTGGGCGGCCAAATTGGCAGGATTTTGCCACAAATCTATCAATTCCAACAATTGGAGCAATTTCCTAGATGAACCTTACTTGTACAAAACTTACCTTGCTTGTTCGAGAAACGCTGGTAGATGTAAGATCAGATCAAATCAGCAGAAAAATGGGTGTGGCTCAAAATTAAAGACCTTGGGTTACGCAGGTTTTAGTCATGGTTCCATTTGCCAAGGTGCCATTTTGGTACATTTATTTGAGCCACAGCCAAATGGCGGAACATGCAATTGGCAGGTTTCCGTGTAGACTTCGGAAATTCTGCTCATTTGGCAAAATAAGCAACAACAACGTAATAACAATGAACTACTTGTTTGGTTCTGACCCGCTTTTGTCCAGGTTTGGTAGCCTCAGGAAGCAATTCAATGTGTTCCTTTTTGAGGGTCCAGGCTTAAAAAACATAAAAATAACAAGCCCTGCAGGCCCCCCCCCTGCCCCCCCCCTGCCACCCCCCCACCCCAACCCCCCCCCCCCGAAAACGCAAGATCGCCTGCATGGCCGCCAGTACCAACTCGTTCTGCAGCACTTCCCTGGCGTCCGGATTTTCCGAGTCCGAGTCCCAAAATCAGGGGAACTCTTCCTGGGGCGATGTGTCAAAATAGGGGAACCGGTTATCCTGGTGATGTCCCTTTAAATCAGCCCAAAACAGGGGACCCAAGTCTGAAAATCAGAGGTTGTCCTGGTGATGCCCCTTTGAATCGGCCCAAAAAGCTAGGAGTCGATACCTTCTCCATTATTTTCAACCATCCTTCTTTCCAAGAACCGGATCCGGTTTCCCTCGGTTTCCGCAGGTTTGCTAGAAAGAAGGATCACTGGAAATAATGGAAATGGAAGGTACCCCTAGAAGAAAGGGGACCCTTCCCTTTGGTGTCCCTTCCCTTCAACAAAATGGCTGATGCTCGTTTTGGAGCTCAAGAAACATGATCAACCAGTCCTTTCACGTTCGCCTGGTGTCTTTTGTCGATGGAAATTACCCCTTCAGAGTTGTTTGAAAGGGAAGCCACCAGGAAACCAGCCAGGTTCTGGGCATCTGTGTTGAGACGCGCCCATGTCAATGCAAGGGCCGGATGCAATGAGTTGAAGCACAGGCTTGGGAGAGCTGTGCTCCATGACGTTGATGTTGGACAAACGGTATATGTCTTGTAATTATCCAGGTAGGCCGCAAAACACCGAAAACAAAAAAGTGGCCTTCAAAAAGAAGAAAAACAAACACTTCTCACCGGCTGCTTTAAACCATGCCCAACCCGGTTCGCTCCAAGCTTAACGACCCACCGGGCTTGTCATTGTCCATTGAGCAACCTTCTGTGCATCTGAGACTGAGGTTCGCGAGTGAGGCCGACCGCCTTTCTTCAATCAAACCAAGAACTCAGCACCTGGCACCCCCAAGCACACCCCAAGAGGGGGGAGACTAAACCTGACCAAAACTGCAGCGCGTGTGTGTGGGTTGGTGGTGTTTTGGGGGTACTTGAAATAGAAAATGAAGGACACCCAGATGTCCAAAGAACATGAAGGACACCCGCACAAGGCAACTCATCTCTGATGAGAAGTGAGTCTTGGAAAGGGCCGCAAAAAAGGGCCGAGCCTCCCTTTGAAACATCCGATCCGAGTGAAACACCCAAAGGTAAGAGGTCCAATCAAAACGGCGCTGCTTTAGATGCCGACTCCATCGCTTGTGTTCAGTAAGATGTGAAGCCCAGTGCCCTTAAGGCCCCAAAACAGGAGCCCTGCGAAATGCGGGGCCGACAAGTGTGGTAAGGGAGCGTATCGTGGCTTTGGTCACTACGAAACGAGCCGGTGAGGTTGGTTTTACTCTCTCAAGGCCGTCATTGCTCCAAGCTGGGTGCTAAATGGGGGGGCCTGGGAAGAATATTTAGAGAATCCTGTTCCTTTGGGGTTTCCCTGTGGGTATACCAACAATTTTTATGGGCTATTTAGCACCCACGTCACATGAAGTTTAACTCTCCCTGGACCATGCTGGAGTTTCCCCCACGTGATGGATGACCCCAGGTCACCACAGTCCCAGATTCCAGAAGCGCAGCAAAAGCTTTGTCAGTAGATTGGATCTGCTGAACATTCGTCAGCTGCTCTTGCACAAGGCTGCTGTCTCCGGCCTCGTTCGGACCCCATGATACCACACACCCAGAAGCCAGAATCGCTGCAAAAGCACCAGAAACACCTTGACTTGTAGCCTGGATTTGCTGGACATTCCTCAGCTGATCTTGCACCTGGCTGCTGTCAGCACCAAATTGTGGACTTCCCCATGTCACAACAGCTCCAGATTCCAGAATGGCAGCAAAAGCAGCACTAGTCGCCTGAATTTGCTGGACATGTCTCAGATTTTCTTGCACCAGGCTGCTGTCTCCGCCTCGATCCGAATTACCCCATGAGACAACAGCTCCAGAACTCAGAATGGCAGCAAAAGCACTGTCAGTACATTGGATATGCAGAACATTCTGCAACTGTCCTTGCACTTGGCTGCTGTCCCCGCCCCAGTCTGGATGGCCCCATGTCACAACTGCTCCGGATTCCAGAATGGCAGCAAAAGCAAAGCCATTTGCTTGGATCTCCTGCACATTCCTCAACTGATCTTGCACCTGGCTGCTGTCACCGCCATATCCTGGATGGCCCCACGTCACAACAGCTCCTGATTCCAGAATAGCAGCAAAAGCAAGACCAGTCCCTTGGATCTGCCGGACATTTCTCAGCTGCCCTTGCACCTGCCTGCTGTTTCCGCCCCACTCTGGCCTACCCCATGTCACCACAGAACCATTTCCCAAAATGGCAGCGAATGCACCTCCCGTTTTCTGGATTTGCAGAACGTCTCTCAGCTGCTTTTGCACTTGCCGGCTGTTTCCCCCAAAGTCTCCATCACCCCATGTGACCACAGACCCAGATCCCAGAATCGCAGCGAAGGCCCCACCATTTGCTTGAATCTGCTGGACGCCTTGCAGCTGCCCTGAGACCTGGCTGCTGTCACCGCCATACTGCCGGTTGCCCCATGACACCACGGCTCCAGATTCGAGAATGGCGGCAAAAGCAAAGCCGGACGATTTAATTTGTCGGACATGTCCTTACTGCCCAGTGACTCGCGCTTCCCTGCTGTGTGCACAAAATAAGGAACCCGCCCTATGAACACGGGAAAAACAAAACAACTAGATCCTCCAGTAGAGAGGTTAGAATAAGGGTACCTTTTTTCTGTAGTCGATTTTAGTAGGGGAACCCTCCCAACCAAAAAACACCTAGCTGGGGGACTTAGACAAATACAAAAAGGTGCCACGGCAGGCACAGCCAGGCTTCTCAGCTGCTCCTTCACTCGTCTGCTGTCTCCACCGTCGGCTGCATCACCCCAGCTCGCAACGCCACCCGCCTGGCAAAGTAGATTGGTTTGTTGCTTTGAGGATGGTTTAAAGGGAAACCAACAAGAACCCCACATTTTTGGGGGGTCGTCCTATGTTGACATACCCTATTCTCCAGATTAACTTTCTTTCCTGAATATTTTCAGATTTCTTTAGAAAATGAGTTAAATTATATATATATATATATGTATATATATATATAGAACACAATGCAGGTTAAAACCCTGTAAGCATAACTCCACCAAAAATGAACCAGCTGAAAAGAAACATAAGGAGCCTTATAACATGGAACCCGCAAACCATCCTAACATAGAAGTTATCAGGTACCCCTTCAAATCAAAGAGAAATCTCCTCTTCACAACTGGTCCTAAAAGCTTTCCATGTTAGGAGGGAGGGTCAATTTTTGGGACCCCCTCTTTGGGTTCCATGAACATGCACAGTACTGAACACATGCGAAGCGTTTTAAGGAATTGCACACCCCAAAAGCCAAAAGCCTGGAGGTCGAATGAACTTGGGCCCAAAACAGAAAAACAACAAGAAAAACAAAAAGAACAACATGGGAAACCCATTTTCCACCTTTGCGGTTTTGGTCAAAAGGTTCACCGCAACCAAGTCTTGTGACGGAGACTCATCCCCTTCAGCTTGTGGTTCAAAAGGGTGTCCACTCTCCAATCCGCAAAGGTTTATGACGGTCCAAGGTCTTGCTGGCAGCTCACTTAAGCTTCAACACTTCGCCCTTGAACAAATAAACTACGTGGAAAAACAATGGTTCTGTTTAGGCTGGAACCAACAAGCCCTACGCGGGAGTGGGTTCTCATGGATCTCTCCTTTTTTGGGTTGACTGCTTCAAAACTCTCCAATTGCGCCCGGGTATGGAAATACAGCATGATGCCCAAGCTCCCATCTTTGGGGGGGGTGGGGGCGGGAAAACTCTCCAAGGATTGCCCCGATCCCGCGGGGGGGCACGCCTGGACGTGCAAAGCAAATGCCGTGCCAGCAGCCGCCAGCCGAAGGGGCAGCAGAACTGCGTCCACCGCGTCCCCGTCGCGCAAGCCCACCTCGCCTTCGGCAAAGGTGCTCAAAAGACCAGAGACAGGCGAAACTTCAAAGGCATCTGGACAAATATACCCCACCCTACCATAAGGCATAAGGGGGGGGGGGGTCAGGCATTCGGGGGGGGGGTCCCCAATTCCAGTTCACCCCCCTCCCCCAATTCCACAAGTTTAAGGGGGTGGGGATGAAAATATTGGAGGTGGTTTGCCCCAGCATGCCCCAGCATTTTCGGGTTGCATCCCAACCTGGTTCGAAGTGGATTTTGTCCAGCCACTGTGGCTTGTCATTAGGCAGAGCCCCTTTTCCTAAGCCAAGTGCCTGGCAAAACGCGGGCACAAGGAAGCCGGTGCTTCCAGAGACCAACCATAGAAGTTGGAAAACTTTAATTCCACTGTACCATGAACCAGAGACCATCAACCCTGTACCAAAGATTTTGAACAAACTTTTAGCACTGGGTACAGGGTGTGTGCCTGCAGAGGTCTTTTGTACTTTCCGAGCCATGCTTTTTCGGCATGTCAGAAAACTGGACCGCAACGGGCCCGGATCATTTCGTCGAATTCGCACGGAACCCCATCCGAGCTGCTTTGGCACCCTTCCTGCCTACAGTTCAAAATCTTCCGCGGATCTGCCTCTTCAGCGGATGTATTTGGAAGCTCAGGCGTCAATTTCGACACGAAGACCCCATCCACATGGAACCCACCAGGGTCAGGGAAACTGGTCTTCCGGGAGCCCACCGTGCAACGGACTGTGCGCAAAGGAATCCCGTGGATGGAAGTCCATTTCGCACCCAAGAAACCCAACGGAATGATTCGATCCCCTGAAAATACCAATAAGCAATGGTTTCAACCATGGTTTCCAAGTGGTGCGAAATGGACTTCGTCCACAGTATTGCATTTTCAGGGCGTCCCTTGCCCTAAGGTCCTTACACACCTCCAATAAACATGCCTCGCCTAGGAGCCAATGTATAACTTTCTATCACAGCTGATGTTGCTTGTTGACTTGGGAGTGTCTTTGAACAAGCGTCCCCCGAAAATATGTGGTTTCTTCCCCTTTCACTGCCAATTCAAGATTTCCACCTGGACCCTCA